TGCATCTTTCTTCAGTCTGTATGGATGAAAGGAAAATTCGAAAGGCCAAATTATTGTAAAATGTCAACTAGCTACAGAGGACTTTGAGTCAAAAGCTGGGGTCCAGGCAGGGGACTTGAAATCCTCACAAAGCCATATATAATGCTATTATCTTAAGGAAAGAGTCTGCATTTTGACAGGGGAGAAAGGGAAGTTCAACAACAAGCCAGACAGACCTCCAGAAAAAGCAGCGAGACGCAATACATGGGAAGAACGATTACAGGGAACTACCACCAGCTCAATTTTGTTACACAAAACAAACAGCTTAGTTTTTTATGCGTTAAGTAATATGATTTCAATTACTAAAAATGTTTCCCAAACCTTTACAAGAATTTGCAAGGCTGTATGGTACTTCTACAAATCACATTAGTGGTGGTTATAACAAAGAGAAAAATGACATGGCTTGAGGAGTCAAATATGAAATATTACCTCCAAAATACAGAATTAAATATAGGCAAATGGAAGACCGATTAATTAGTACTTTTAGGATTCCCACTGGATTCCCACATTCTGCAGGATTGAAAAATAAATACTAGAATAAGCTTAAAACCTAATGTATTAAAAAACCCTAAGGTATTAGGAAATAAATCCTACTATACGATACATACATTTTATTAATGTCTTAAAATTCTTCAACTCGTCATATATCTAACAGTGGCAAAAACTTAAATGAATGAGCTACAATCAAACCTAGCAATAGTTCCTATTTAAACAACAGCACGATATTATGGTTAATACAGTAGATACAGCCTAGAAATAAATTGAAAAATCACACAAACACACACACTCAATATTAACACACACACAAAAGAGGCCTCTCAAGTAAGTAAGCCACTGAAATAAACAACAACTATGCCTGCAAATATAAAAATTGGCGATTTATTGGTACTTATTTTGAATCTAGCTTTGAAATATCCTCACTTGTGGGTTTTCTTATAACAATGTGCTAATTTTTTATTCATCTAGTCCTGATCTTCACACCCTAATAGTTTCAGAACAGGTGGGGACAGTGACCTGCTTTCTCAACCATTATATCCCCCAGACATCACTAATTTGAGGCTGAGAAAATTGCACATAATGAGCCAGAGACTCAAGTTCATGATTTTTAGTCGGCTGCACTCTTGTTTCAGGGCACATGGGCTCCCTCCCCTCCCCCTCTGCCACCCTTGCAGCTGCCTCTCCACCAACTAAATTGACCAAACATGAAATCAAAGGAAATAATTTTTTGAACTTTTCTGTGGATTTTTTTAAGGATAATAAAAATTAAGCTATATATTTTTCAAGATTTTCTTTTTCCTTCATGGAGCCTTACGTTTTTTACATGGATTATAAATGCTAAAGAAGTTAACAGCTTAAGGGGCTCTCTCAATTATTCAAGAAAACAATCAGATGTATTATTTTATAAGCACTTTTTTCTTTTTACAAAACATGGCTTACATAATTCAAGATTCTTAACCATCCCAAATTCTACCATATAAGATATTGCTTTTCAAAGCTTTTCTGCAAAAGCCCATTAAAGGCTTAGCAGAATATAGATGCAAGACAGAAGAGTAAAAATAAACAAGCAAACAAACCAATGCTTCATAGGAAGACCACTGGGCTAAGACTATTACACTTGGCTACATGAAACACCACGTTACTCTTAGTTGTTTTATGTCTGATGTGTAAATTCTCCCATCAACACCAGAAGGCTGCAACTAAGTATCATATGTCTAAATTTCACAGGAAGCTGCATCCAAAAAATTTTAGAACCAAAAGACACCTTTAACTCATTAAATCTACCAGACTGAAACCTATTAGGGTAACCGACTGGCATGGTCACTTTGGAATGCACAGGGTTTGCCATTACTGCGGAGTTTGTTGGTGTTTTGTTTTTATGCTGTGGGTGTGAGTGTGGTAGTCCTTATATCCTCCTAATGAGGACCACGGCCTCTTTAGGTCCTGTCCTCCCGGAAGCTGCCAGGGGCAACAGTAATGACAAAGAAACATTTCTGATCAGTTTGAAGCAGGGAAGATTTCACTTTCTCACGTGGCCTGCTGCAAATGCAAGAACCGGACAATTCCCACCCACTGAGGAGTTCTGGAATGGAGCAAGAGAAGGGCGCTTTCTCACTGAAGAGAGCAAAGTGGTTGATGAACTTTACTCTGAATTGTTCAGCCTACAAACTGCTCTTCTACAACTTACCAGTTCTACTTGCTCCTTTGGTGAAGCTCTATTCTTTGATCAGTCTCATCTGCTTTGCAGGGATGTTTGCAGGGATGTCCTAGGCATATCTGGTGGGGAAACATCACTTGTTTTAAGGGGGATCTAGCTTTGATGAGGAAATCAACTCCATGGTGATGATTTTCGTTTTGAATGGCTATAGGTAAGGAGCCCATGGTGAGATGGTTCAAGCCTGAGGCTGCTCGCCAAAAGTTTGCCAAGATCGACCCCCTCAGGCTTTGCTTCTCAGGCAAAAAAGATTGCAGCCAAGAAAACTCCATAGGATTGTTCGACTCTTATCACATGGGGTCGCTGCAAGTGGAAATCAGCTCAACAGCAGGCACCAACAGTTAAGACCTGTCACGGATTTTTTTTTGGTGGTCACTAAATAAGTTCTGCAGAAATAACTCCCAGCACCATATGCTCCAGACAGAACGCCCACTTGGACAACTGTTCTGACCCAACAGTAGCTCCAGTGTCCAGCAGCCGGCCACAGGTGAGCTGGCCTGTCTCTAAAGCACCAGGATGCCAGAAATTACAGGAGCTTCCAGAGTGTCCTAGGAAAGCTACAGAAGGGGACAATGGACTCCTCCAGGCTAGATCAGCTTTAGAGAACGCAAAAGCAACACACACCAACAAACACCAGGGAACTATCTATGTATAAATGGTTCAGGGCTTGTGCAAAAACCTCAAAGAGGATGAAGGTCAGGCGGGGATAATAGGCCAATTTAATTCTGAAAGCACAAGGTGCAAGAAATTTTAATTATGGTCTGCCACTGAAATCACACAAGATCCAATGGCATCTAACTGCAACTGCTCATCAAGGGAGACAAGAGGTGTAATTGTAACCGCTGCATAATCACTGCGAGGGCGCAGAGAAGGCTGCCTCCAGCTCCCAGGGAGAGGAGGGATTAAGAGCCCAGAAAAATCCAATACAGGGAAACATGGAGAATGCACGGAGCCAAACCAGAGCTAGTAGTGTGTTTGTGTGTGCGTGTGTGTGTGTGTGTGTGTGTGTGTGTGTGAGAGAGAGAGAGAGAGAGAGAGAGAGACAGAAAAGAGACAGAGACAGAAAAATGAGGCTCAGAAGACCACGTTGTTGGGACTAAATCGAAGGCAGAAGCTTGGAAAACTCTCAACCTCTTTCTGCTTTGTGGATGGCAGACTTGTAAACCGAGAAAGGCACAGTTTCCTGCAATTTCTCTCCTCTGCGAAGCTGCTTCTCCCACTCGCCTTTGTTTCAAACAATTAGCTTGAATGTTGCAGGTACTACAGTATCAGACTGCCTTTAATCTGTGCCCACCGTGAAATCGGGAGACAAAAACCCCACTCAGAGGACTGGAGGGGCATCGCCTGGGCCCCGCCGCCAGCGCCCCCTCACCCCACCCGCTTGGGCCGGTCCCCTGCAGACCGAGCGGCGCGGGCTCTCTGGAAGGAACGCGCAGAGAAGGCTCAGCAGTGGCCCCGGTCCATTCAGCAAAGTTTGACACCGCTGCGAGCAGGTCTGGAAACGGAACCTCCCACCCGTGGCTGCTGCAAAGTTTGCAGTGAAGTTGCCGCGAGGATGTCCTAAATCTTGGGGCAGGGGGATGGCGCAAGTGCGCAGGGAGTTGGGGTGGATGAAAGGAGACGGAATTGGGCACTTCAGAAAAAACAGAGAATGTTTCCGAACCGATGGTGCCTCGGACGGTTTCCGCCCCC